ATTCTATATACCATGCCTGCCTGTATATAGTAATAATAATCGGGGATTATTATTCATATTCTGCCCTTAAGGAAACTGGGACTACAGTAAATAACTCACTGAGTGAGTGAATGGGAGAGCTGGGCTTTGAACTTGGGCCCACTCTTCTGGCCTCCCCATGAAAGGGACCTCACTGTTTTGACAGAGAGATGCCTTTTCTCTCCAAGCTCCTGGTTCTCGTCCTTACCACAGGAGAACTCTGAACAGAGGTAAAAAAATGAAATGTCTGTAAGAATGTTTCTTGCATTTCTAAGTTCTAGGTAAAAAATGAAATGTCTATAAGAATGTTTCTTGCATTTCTAAGTTCTAGTTCTCTACAATATGAAACCCAAAAGTTCAGCTCAGCCTCTGCACACACAACTCTACTGCCTGTGAAATTCATGAGAATGGGAGCTCAAGCAGTCCTTATTGTCAGGCCTGCCCGACAACCTGTCATCAACACAGATGAGGAAGGTGGCTGGAAAGGAATAGAGGAGATACAGGATTTGCATTTGGACAAAGACCACGCCCGGGTCCTGGGGTAGTTTGCAATCCTGATGGGTGTTTCTTGTCCTTTGTTAGAATCAGGATTTCATCTGTGTGACTGCTTGATTAGAGCAGCTGTGTGTGGCTCACTGTCCTCTGCAGTCCAGAGAGAGGAACATCTGAACTGTCTAAACACCCTGTTCTGGACAAGTTCTCTAGTGTGAAATGAGAAAGTGGCTTTTCCCAGTATACATGAAGCTCAGGCACTCTGCTAGTTTCTTTTTCAGGATGAGCAGCCCTATCTCAAGATCCAAAGTCCTCCATAACGTAAAACTTGTTGTGTGCACACAGGACACCACCATTGGACAGTCCCGCGTCTGGCCTTGTGTGACAGGCAACAGTCAAAATGCAATCACTCAATAAGATATGAAGTTAACGGTTGCTTGTACACAGTGTTAATGACTTAAGATCTATCCTTGAGATAACAATATATATTCAAATACTCCGAAATCTGAGACATTTATAATGACGTGTGTCACAGACACGGGATGTGCTCCACCTCTTCTTTATTTCCAGAATAATTCTCAGATGTTTAAGGCTAAGGGGACTCCACTCGTAACTCAAAATGTCTCTCAATTTTTTTTCTGTGAAGATTTTATTATGGTATTCAAATATATTATTTTTTTAGAATTATAAATTTGTTGGGTGTTTAGTTTGTATTAGTATATATTAATAATACATAAAGTTTTGCTATAACATTGCTTCATGGATATAATTTATTTTGCTCATACCATCCCATTACCTTTTCTTAACCCCCTCTAACTCCTGTTCCCTTTCCTCTTCCCAGTTAGTCTCCCTTCTGCTTTCCTGTCATGTGTGTGTCTGTGAGTGCATGTATGTGTCTATGTGTGTGTCTGTGTTTCTCTGTGTGTGTTTGTGTGGGTGTTTCTGTGTCTCTGTATCTGTGTGTGTGTGTGTGTGTGTTTGTATATGACACTGAGTTTAACTAGGTTGCTGGCATGAGCATGGTAAGAGGTAATCTATAGAAGGCTAAGCTCCATAACTGTACTGTTGAAGAAAATGTCTCCCTCTCCCCATCAATGATAAATCCTCAGGAAGAGGTTGATGAATCCAAAACTGTGCAGCCTTTGCAAGTAATGTGTTCAAGTGAGCAGCATTCACATTGTTCTGCCCAGTTCACGAACCCCAAAAGACCAGGAATAAACAGACTCTGCTGTAAATACATGAGGGTCTTTTTATTTTAAATTACAAGCTGCAGCTTGGGCCCACACACACTCACCACTTTGGAGCCGAGCGCACTGCGCCCAGGTTAGTTGGGTGATATATAGATTCTGGTCCATCCCAGCATGCCCAAGGCAGGGGCGATTCCTGCCTGGCAAGCATATATTGGTCAAAATGCTACATTTTGAATCGATTGGCTATAGGAAGGTTCCCAGACCATTAATGACCAGGTGTCCCTCCCTAAGGGGATGGTCCAGTTTCCTAGCAACTGTATCTCTAGTGGGTGGGGAAAGAATGCAGTGAGGTGGCTCTTCCCCTCAGGGCATTACTAGACTTCTTTATGGTACCTACTTCAGGTCTTAATAATAGCTGCTAATTTATCTTTTGGTCTCTCAACATCATGCCAGAAGACATAGTCCGACAGCACTCCTCTTCCTCTAGCTCTTATTTTCTTCCTACCCCTTCTTCTAGGAAGTCCCCTGAGCCTTGGAGGTACTAACACAGTTGCCCCATTTGGGGCTGAGGATTCTACCATTGGCTCATTCCCAGCACTTGAACCAATTGTGAGCCACTGCAGGAAGCACCACCCATTACAGAAGGAAGCTTCTGTGACCAAAGAAGACAGCTACACAAATCCATGGCCCTGACCCCATACTGGGATTTGACATGAGCAGCATGTCCGTGTAGCACTCACTACAACAGCAGTAGCTCCCACTCAGACCTGGGGCACCGCAAGTTTAAGTGGATTGTCCTGTTCCAGCTTATTCATCTTAGTTTCTGCTTTCAGTTCACTCTGTGTAAACTAAAAGATAATCTCTCTCTCTCTCTCTCTCTCTCTCTCTCTCTCTCTCTCTCTCACACACACACACACACACACACACACACGTTGCCATTAGTTAGCTGTTGGAGGAACCGCAAATGTTCCAGAATAAAACCTAACTTATAAATAGTTGACTAGCTCACTAAACTGTTTTCTGAAAAGACCTCATTCCTGTGTGTCCCAATACAGCCATTTCAATTCTTTTCACATTTGAAAATGAACTAGGATGCATCATAGCATAGAAAAATAAAGGTACATGGTATGGCTTCCGACCCCTTAACCTCAGAAAACCAGAAGGAAAAATGCACAGCTGCCGACCACAGCAGCAATTGTACTGTTATCCTCTGAGCCCGGTTCAAACTAGGATTTTCATCTAATTGGTTTCAAGACCTAAAACACATTTTGTCAATTTCAGGTGACTCTGTGTACTTGATTCTTCACTATAGAGATTCCCCTTTGAAATTAGCAGGCCTTCTAAACCCTTCTCTTTTGCCCTTGTAATTAATTAACCGATATCAGACACTCACAGTGCCCCCAAAATAGTTTGTGAAAATGTGTACCCCTTGAGGGTACAACTTGAGGGGAAGCAGCCTCACAGGAAGCAGGATCACCACTCAGAGTTAGCAGGCTGACTGTTGTAACCCCACCGTGACCTCCACCCAAACCCCGTCATCCACACCATGGGAAGTGTCGGGATCTGAATTGGTATCTCACAAAGCTCCAGTTCAGGAGACAGGAGCTTCCCACAAAGCATTGCATGTTACCGTAGTGTTTATAGGAGGATCACTCCTTATTCCTGGATAGTTCTACTTTGTGGCTTCTCATTTGCACTAGGAAAGACATTGACAGCTACAAAAAGAAAATAACAAATTTTTTTTAAATCTTTTATTTATTTTTTATTAATTACACTTTATTCATTTTGTATCCCCCCATAAGCCCCTCCCTCCTCCCCTGCCAATCCCACCCTCCCTCCCCTTTCTGCATGCATGCCACTCCCCAAGTCCACTGATAGGGGAGGTCCTCCTCTCCTTCTTTCTGATCTTAGTCTATCAGTTCTCATCAAAAGTGGCTGCATTGTCCTCTACTGTGGCCTGGTAAGGCTGCTCCCCCCCAGGGGGAAGTGATCAAAGAGCAGGCCAATCAGATTATGTCAGAGGCAGTCCCTCTTCCCATTACTATGTAACCCACTTGGACACTGAACTGCCATGGGCTACACCTGTGCAGGGGTTCCAGGTCATCTCCACAAATAGTCCTTGGTTGGAGTAGGAGTCTCTGGGAAGTTCCCTGTGTTCAAATTATCTTGTTCTGTTGCTCTGCTTGTGGAGTTCCCGTTCCCTCCAGCTCTTACTATTTCCCACTTCTTACATAAATTTTAATTTAAAAAAAAACAAGCGCAGTGGTGATGCAGACCGTGTGTTCACTTGCTGTTACTAGGGAGTTAAGCTGCACTTGCAAGACGTCCTCGGGAAGACAGCAGGCGCCCTCTAGTGGAGAGTCAGCCTTGTAACGGGACTGTTTCCCTCAAGCACTGGACTGCATAGTGACATTTTGAAGGAAAGGGCAGTTTCTGCTTCGTGATGGTTTCTCTTCACATTTTAACCAAGAAAATCCTGTTAATCAAAGGATGTCTGCTGCAGGCCCACCTGATGTGTCACACTGGAGAAATGAGGTGCTGTGAATAAGGAAGGCAGACGGTGCTAGCTGGCGCCAAAGTGCTAAGTGGTTTAGAAATAAAATACACACTTAGACGTGTATGCGTGTGAGAGTGATAAACATACAAGCTCTGGCTGCATGACTCAAGCCTACACCTTTACTCCCATAGGTAAGCAGCTTGAAGGACAATCTTATCTCTTGCCTTCGTCTTGAGCTGAGTCTGTAACTTGTACACTATTGCAGATCTGAAAGTCAGCTTTGACCTTTGTGTTCCTATTAACTTTCCAGAACATAAGCCATGCTCACTGTGGTATTTCTTTATGAGACGAAAATGATGACCCAAACTCCATGCTTTTTTAGGCATCTAGTTTTCTGTCCCCTATGACTTGTACTGTACCATATAGAGTTTAATGGTTTTATAAAATGTTATTTTGGTACCATCAAAAAATAAATAAAATTTACTCAGGCAAGCAAGAAAGTAAATGGCACATGACAGATAGGTGTTTTGATTTTAGAACTTAGTGAAGAAAAAGAGGTGAGTGGCGCTAATGAAATGTATTATCAGTAATAATGTATAGCCCAAAGTGGTGAATGATGCAGTGACAAGATCTGAGAAGAAAGTGAAGAAATTCTTGGTTTTAAAACCCTACACCCTGTGTTTCCTCCATTCTGCTTTTGTATAACTTCTATAAAAATATGTGCTCAACTGTTATTATACATGTTTACAAAGTTGGTCTATTCTGTGACATTTTCACTAATCTTTTTCTCATCTTCCCCACAGCAAATGATGTGCTTGGCTTTGGAACACTGGTCAGTACTTCTAACACCTACGATGGGTCTGGCCTCGTCACTGTGGAAACTGACAACCCGCTCCTCTGGACCATGGCCATCAAACGCTAACCTGTAGTGTGGCATCCATCTTGTGCCTCTGTGTCTCCTGATCTGCCCAGTTGTTCATTGCTCAACATGAACAGCCACATAGATGTGTGGGGATCTAAATTTGTCCATAGGAAGCCTTGGACTTTCAGGATGTTGGGGTTAAGGTATAGCTGAGCAACAGAGCACTTGTCATACACGTGAAGGCCTTGGGTTCAACGCTCAACACCACAAAACAAAGATGTTGGTGTTTATGCTATAAATGCTAGCTCAATGTTATATTGAAGGAGAAATTGTGTTCTATTGAAATAGATAAGCTTTATTATACTCTAGTGAAAAAGCTAATGTTGATCAGAACATTATATAATTCAGTTTTGATCATTTTTATTTAATTAATCAGTCCATTTACCTTAAAATTCTTCTTTAATTTTGAAGCACCAAAAGCTGTTGTCAGTGTTGCCTGGGAGTCTAGCACTTCCCGGTGTGTCTGGCAAGGGCTGCCTACCTCTGAGTCTCTCCCAACACTGGACTCCTCTCTATAATGCATGTTATCTTCCAGAGTGTCGTGATAGAATGGCACCATTTCACTTTGACTTCATCTTTTGAAAGAATCACTGACTTAATTGTTAAATTTGAAACCAAGCAGTTTCATGGGCTGTGGGTATATGAGAAATGGTTATTTAGGATTTGCTCCTACTTTAGCCCCTCAAGACTGGAAAGCAAGCACTCTGAGCTTTAGAAATGCAGAGGTCCTTATGAAAAGCATGACAAACCCATAAAGCTTGGGCAGAGGAATCCAGCAAGCCTAAGCATTCAGTCCGTTTTAACATACCTCGCACTAAAAACGAAAATGTTAATTCATGGACCATATTGATTGACATCACCAGAAAATTAATGTGCCAATGGAGATAAATGAACACCACCTGCTGCGGAGTAGACACCTGAAGCCTGTTTCTCCATCCTGCTCCACCATGTGCCTGCTTCCTGTACTTCTCCTAGCTATTCAGTGGAAGGGGTTGTAATCATTGAGTGTGAGAAAGAACCACTGATACAGACTCTTAAGGGCTAACATGTCGCAGCTTTAGAGCAGATAATATGGTTTCTGATTTAGCATAAGCTTGCTGGTGCATTAAAATTTATTCATGTTTCTTTTTTATAGTCTTTTTAAAAATTTTTTATTAATTAACTACACTTTATTCACTTTGTATCCTCCCCTCCCAACCCCTCCCTTCCTTACCCCTCCCTTCCTTCCCCTTCTCCACACATTTTTCTCCCAAAGTCCACTGATAGGGGAAGTCTTCTTTTCCTTCTGATCCTAGTCTATTAGGTCTCATCAGGAGTGGCTGCATTGTCTTCCTCTGTGGCCTGATAAGGCTGCTCCCCCCTCAGGGTGAGGTGATCAAAGAGCAGGCCAATCAGTTCATGTCAGAGACAGTCCCTGTTCGCATTACAATGGAACCCACTTGGATACTGAACTGCCATGGGCTACATCTGTGCAGGGGTTCTAGGTTATATCCATACATGGTACTTACTTGATTAGAGTATGAGTCTCAGGAAAGACTCCTGTGCTCAGATTTTTTAGTTCTGTTCATGAGCTCCCCTACTCATCTTCCTACCCTTTCCTATCCCACTTGTTAAACCACATCTTGCCAAACAAGCCAGGACTTAAGGGCAGCCTGCCCATCGTGTTACATTTATCTCATGATTATGTCACTGACTTCTTGGTGCTACAACAGTATGAAACTTAAACATAAATGGAAGAAGAAAGGGGATCAGTTGAACCAATGCCAAGTTCTGACTAGAAATCATTAAAAATCATTGTCATTATTTTATAAAAATATACTGAAATCTGGATTTCAAATCAAAACAGTTATCAATGTGCATGTCAACAATGGGTTTCTAAGAAAATGTTCAATGTTATCACTTGTGTTTCATTATGACTAATCTCTCATAATCAGTGTTTCTGCTTAAAGGATGACTGAAGATGTAATTCATAATTAAAATCTCATGTATGACTTCAGACAGCAATGTAGTAGTATTAAGTTTTTTCTCTAACCTTTTCCCCTGGACATTACTCGCTAGATGACCTGGATCAGTGATTTATATCTCATCATTTTGGACCTTTATTGCTCTGTCTATAAAAATAAAAATTGAGTGTCATATCTTACTGTTCCTTACTTTGTAGGAATTAGAAAAGACAAAAATAAAGATAATTTGCATCCTGGGTGTCTAGTTGCTGGAGAAAGAGAGCCAGTAGAGAGCTACATATCTTCTGTGAGAACATAAAGAGAACTGGTAGAGGAACCTCTGAGGAGCAGGAAGAGATGGGGTCAGATAGTTGAAGATCTCAGTACGAATGCAGAGCTCAGAGGCTCCGTGCACCCCTTCCATGCCCAGAAGACAGATGGTAGTCTGCCAGGAGAGAGGATCAGCCACGCCCCCTCACTGATTCATTTAACTCAGAAGCGACAGCAGGAAAGCTAGTGTGAGACCTCCTGCTGCTGCCTGAAACAATACATGCCACAAATGAAATCACAATCGGAGAGGAGACAGGGTCAAAGCTGGGATGCACAGCAGCTTCTTTTTTATTTTTTTATTAATTAATTACACTTTATTTACTATGTATCCCCCCTGTAGTTCCCTCCCTCCTCCCCTCCCAATCTTTCCCTTCCTCCCCTTTTTCATGCATGTCCCTCCCCAAGTCCACTGATAGGGGAGGCCTTCTTTTCTTTCCTTCTGATCCTAGTCTGTTATGTCTCAATCAGGAGTGGCTCACAGCAGCTTCTTTTAACCCCACTCTGTACTTCATGGAAAGTAGAGGCCCAGCCATGTCTGCAACTTCCAGTTTGTAGACTGCTGAGATGTTTATAACTAAAAGTATATGTATTACTTGCAAAACACACATGCATGTCCATCATTTAAAAATTTACTATCAAAGAACACATGTCTTATATAACCTGAAAGCGTGTGTGTGTGTGTGTGTGTGTGTGTGTGTGTGTGTATCTGTCTGTGTGTCTATGTTTTAATGATGCTTGGTAAACATGTAAATACTGGGATGGGTAGGGTATGAGATATTTATCACCTGTGAATCGTGCCAGAAACACTGGAAAACCTCAGAAAAGTTCCTGCTGACAACTGAAGAACTACTCCACCTGCTCCTTCAAAGTACAGAAGAGCAGTCTCCCTCTTTCCATGCTGTTTGGCTCTATCATCTAAACAGATGCTCACCTATTATTTCTGTTTGTTTGTTTGTTTGTTTGTTTGTTTTTATACCACATGAGCCTGCAAATGGTAAGGGCTCAGATGCATGGGTGAAAGTCAACCCTTCAAGGAATTCCTCCTTAGTCCCTGTAGCTATAATGGGAACGTGCAAGTTGGGCTTGCTAGGAAAGCTACTCTTACCTCCTGAACCGTGACTTCCATCAGTTCCTTCCTTCCTGATCAGCTTGTAGCTTCTGTCTTCTAGTGACTGTTGCCTAAAATGGCATTAGGCTACCCAAAGCTCCAGCTCGGTCTACGATGACAGCAACCATCCTTCAATAACTGAGTCACACATGACTATGAGATGTGTGATAGGCGGGTAGGGTGGAATCAGGTGTAAGTCTGACAGGAATACAATTTGATCCTTAGTTTCTGGAGAAAGGACAGAGCAGGTTTTCACTTACAGGTTTTCATTTACTCAGAGAAGCAGGGAGGGGTGGACATCGCTTAGGTGTCTGTGAAGATATAATGCTAGAGTTTTGCCTCATGATTTTGTATGTATGGCATGCACCTCTCAACTCCCCCAGTGTGGAGCCAGCCTTGCTTACACTCCTGCGCTCAGTCATGCCTCCCTGAGCACTCTTTGAACTGTTGGAATAAAGCAACCATAGATTTGATGTGATTGAGACTGATGGAATGTGCCAAGCACTGAAGAGGGAGAGATGGCTCTTCACTCCCTTACAGTTCTGTGATTATTATGGTCTCAATGGTGACTTTCAAACTGTGTTTACCATGACCCACGAAGAATATATTTACCTTATAACCCAGTCTGTAGAGAAACACACACATACTGAAACCTAAAGTATGTTTTAATTTTACCTTAAATTAAAAGGCACCCATAAGGACATTTGAAAAGCATAGCTCAGAAACAAACAAAAATGCATAAAGAATATGAGTCCTACACTGAGAATAAAGTAATTTCTTTAATTTATGATAATGATGTCATTTTAAAAATATATTTCTCTGTACAAACTAAAATTTAAGCCACAAGGCCAATTTCTTCCTCGGGAGTCCCTGTATAAGGGCTGGACATTTTCTGGCATGCGAACGTAGCACAATTTGCCCTTCCTTGCCCATAGCAGATTTTGCTCATCAGTCATAATTTTCTTTCCTGGTGAGCCCCAGCCAAAGCCTCAAAATCCATCTCAAAACCGTTATCCAAGCAGATGTGATGGACGACGCTCCACTGGTTCAGAGCTAATGTGTTATTTTCCCACAGTATACAAAACCACTCTGCTGACAGCCCAGCAAAGAGGCCGTGGAAACATCACTCTGGCTCAGAGCTAATGAGTAAATAACCACATCCAAGGACTTGTTCCCTGTGTGCTAACAGCAGGGGCTTTGTGCACAGCAAAAATAAAAATGAGTTCCACCCCCGAAAATAACTCGGAAAACATGAACCAGACCCTCTGCTCGTTTATAGTTGAGAAGGAGGAATCCTCAGAACAGACCTGCAGCTTCTCCCTGAGAACCAAAACCTCTAAGATACAATAATAAGTCCAGATTTTAAAAGTGAGTTTGATAGCTAAAGAGCTAAAAAAAAATTATAACTCTTACCTTGGCAAGTATTTATCTTTGAAATGTCAAAATATAAAGCCTGAGTGAATACTACACAGTGCTTGGGGGAGGGGACAAAAATGAAAAATTGTAAGGATAAAATTCTGTAACCAAACTGTTCCTAATGAATAACTTCATGTCGAGTTGTTTAACATTATGACTCCTTCCTAGACTACAAACCCCTGAGGACATGCACATCTGTCTTCCTTGTTGTCTGCCATCCCGTGCTCCTAGAACAGGCCTGTCTGCTGCAGGAGGTACAGGGAGACATGTAATATGCTGCTGTGCTAGCACGCCTCCCCCTTGCCTCACACTGAGGGAACACGTGCATTTCCCAGTCTCTAGCAACCATTGTTCTTTTTCCTCATGGTCCTGAGATGTCTATGCTTCAGATATGCTAATATTTCTCTTACATAGGTTTTTCAATCTTCAAGACATATGTCCTAATTATGCATTGGACAGACCTGGTAAAAGTGTTGTTCACGTTCCTAGCTGAAGAAGAGAGTATTTTCTACAAGGCCAAGGCCATGCTCCAAACCCTCATTGAAGGCAAATATTTTGATCAAGGTAAGGGGAAAAAAAAGAGGGAGAGAGAAGGCCTACCAAGGACTACAAAAAAGCAAGTGAATAAAGGACAGGAAAAGACACAAAGCACATAATGACAGAGCTTGGGACAAGTGGTTTGGGTGAAAAGAACCAAGGACGTAGGGTGGCGACTGTCTCTGGCTGGGTGGGAAAGAAAAGTAGAACAACAAAGAAATTAAAAGAGGTATTGTTCTGAGTTGGAAACCTTGAAGCTGAAGCAGGGTCTCAGTTGGAGTTTCAAGGCGGGATGGCAGCTGTCATTAGCTAAGTTAGACTTAAGACAAGAGCGCATGCATGCCATTTGAATCTGTCCTTTTTATTTGTATTGAGTAAATTAAGTCTAGGAAATTAGTTTCAGCATTCTAGGATCAAGAAGTGATATATAGCGCTGGAGAGATGGCTCAGAGGTTAAGTGCACTGGCTGTTCAAAGGTCTTGAGTTCAAATCCCAGAACCACATGGTGGCTCACAACCATCGATGATGAGATCTGGTGCCCTCTTCTGGTGAGCAGGTGTACATGCAGACAGAACAATGTACACATAATAAATAAATCTTTTTTTTAATTTTATTTTTTTCTTATCAGTTACATTTTATTAACTCTGTATACCAGCCATGTCCCGATCCCTCATTCCCTCCCAGTCCCTCCCTCCCTCCCTCATCTCCACCGTGCCCCTTGCCAAGTCCACTAACAGGGGGGACCTCCTCCCCATTCATCTGACCCTGTTTTATCAGGTATCTTCGGGACTGGCTGCAAAGCCCTCCTCTGTGGCCTAACAGGACTGCTCCTCCCTTGGGGGGTGGGGAGGCCAAAGAGCCAGTCATTGAGTTCCTGTTAGAAACAGTCCTTGTTCCCCTCACTATGGGAAACCAATTGGTTACTGAGCTACCACAGGCTACATCTGAGCAGAGGTTCTAGGTTACATTCATACATGGTCCTTGGTTGAATGTCAGTCTCAGAAAAGACCCTGTGCCCAGATATATTTGGTCCTTGTGGAGCTCCTATCCTTTCCTCATCAGACTAACTCCCCTTCTTTCTTATGATTCCCTGTACTCTGCCAAAGGTTTGGTCATGAGTCTTTGCTTTGAAAACACTGATAGTTAGAGTCTTTCAAATGCGCTCAGTAGACTCCTGCCATATGTTCAATGCGCATCCCATCTGTCTTTCTAAACGAGGATTGATAATCTTACCCCATGTCCGCTCTCTTGGTATAGAGCGGTATATATACATATACAACTCTAACTAAATTATCCACATTAGACATCATTACTTGTGCTTTTGAATCATTGTTCTCTAATGAATATTTGTATTCATTAGAGAGTATTTATAAAAAAAAAAAAAACTACTTTAATCTAGGTGCACAACTGTAATCCCAGTATTTAAGAGTAGAAAAGGAGAATCAGAAGTTCAAGGTTATCCTCAGCAATATAGCCAGATCAAGGAAAATGAATCAACATGACACTGTTTTCAAAAAACAAAACAAAAAAGTAACAACAAAAAGCCTGTCTTATAAAAAATGTATCACTTTTACCAATACAGTTTTATCAATATACTTTTATTAATAATGATAACTGATATTTACAGAATGCACACAGACTTCTGTATTTGTAGTGATCCTTTCATCTGTCCTTTTTTTGCCAATTTTCCTTTCTTATCCCACCACATCTTACTGCATAGACCCGATAATCAGTGGCATCTTATGAAATTTAAAAGCCAGTTATCTCCAACATAATGGGGCTTTCAGTACTATGTCTTTATGAA